CGGTCTGAAACCAAATTGTTTGGATGTAATGATCTCATTATTATTAAGATAAGCATACAGTTGGATGTGCACGGCTTTTTCTAGGATTTTACTTGTCGTTGGCAGTACAGTAATGGGCCTGTAATTGTTAGCATCGCAGCGATCACCTCTCTTGAATAATGCTGTAACTTGTCCAAATTTCCAAAGGGGAGGGAAGATGCGAGTTTCAAGGGAAAGATTGAATAATCTAGTTAAGCTGGCACTGATAACTGTGGCTGAATCTTTCTACAGACGCGCACTGATGTTATCGAGACCGATAGCTTTATTGGTTTTGATCTGTTGTGGCTGACGAATAACGAAGTCTTCCGTAATCGGCTCGAAAGTAAATTCATAGGGTAGACTCCAGTTTACCGTAGGTGTCGAGAAGATGTAGGACCTGTAAGACTTGAGCTCCTGCGCTAATTTGGTTCCAGTTGTTGAAAAATGGTCATTGAGAATCTTGGCTATAGATTTATTGCTACAGTATTGAACACCGTCGGTTTCAATGCTGGAGATGGGAGTTCTTTCTTTGCGAGATGTTATGTCGTTAAGAGTTTTCCATAACGCACTTGGATTAGATTTGTTTCCGGTAATAAGCTTAGAATAGTATTCCGATTTACATCTCTTTATCTCCTTAATTACGTAATTCCTAAGTTCCTTATAGCGTGACCAGTGATTGCCAGACTTTGATTTCAGGGCTTTACGATTGTAATGATCTCGTTTGTACATAGCTTTAGATAGCCTTGCATTCATCTAAGGAGAGCGGACCCTTTTATTCTTGATTTTCTTATCGGAGCATGAGTATCGGCAACGTGAGTGAAAAGTTTGTTCCAATCATCGACCGCGGAGTCAATGTCATCCTTGTTTAATGCCTGGTCCCAGTCAATATCTCTCAAGTCATTCAGAAATTCCTGCTTTGAATAATGCTTGTATAACCGATATTCAATGGTTCTCCCTGGAGCCTTGGGAACACCTGATTTGATAACGCAGAAGATCAAACAATGGTCACTTAGAGGTGATGGAGTAACGCCTCGGTCAATAACACGATGAGA